GAATAGAAATGCAGAAAAACGAGATTATTTCTTGTTCCTTGGTTTAGAAGGGAGATGTTTTAAACTTTCACTTCTAAGTGTGATGTCAGATGGAGGTAATGTTTTTTCTTCTTTTTGCCAGTATCCTTTGTATGTAAGATGAATCGCTAAATGGTTTTATTGGTAAAAAACCCAGAGTCAGATATTGGGGGTGAAAACTGAGAGATCAGGGAAGCAGAAAGAATCCAGCCACATTCTTACCGCTAGGAAATCATCAGCCAAGAGAGAGTGACTTCCTGTATACTCACGCTTACATCCTTTCTGTGCCCTGCCATTTCACTTCCTGTCTCCACCAAGCTACATCACTTCCTCTTTCCACCGAGCCCTATCACTTCCTGTCTGTCTGTATAGACCTCCAGACTTCTATGGTTAACTAGCACTGGGATTAAAGGTCTGTGCCACCATGCCTGGCCTTGAACTCACAGAGATATTTGGATGAATCTCTGCCTCCTGAATGCTAGAATTAAAGGTGTATGCTACCATTGCCTGACTTCTATGTTTAATATAGTGGCTAGCTTTTTCCTCTAATCCCCAGATAACCTTTATTAGGGTGCACAAATAAAATATCACCACGTTTGTCACTGAGGAAAATACTTTCTATTCCTCATTAAAGCTTTTTTTTTTCTATCTAAAATGGTGTTGGATTTATCAGTTTTCTCTCTTGTATCTGTAGAGACTATTCTATGTTTTTCTTTTTTAAGTAACTTGAATCTCATTGCTAAACTGACATTGCATTCTGAAATAAAACCTACTTGTTTATGGCATTTGTCCTTTTAGGAAGATTGTTGATTGAATTTATTACAGTTTTGTTTAGTATTTGACTCCATGTCCAGGAGACACTAGTCAGATTGGATTAGTGTCTACTGAGTGACTTTATTTTAACTAACCTAACTGCCTCTTTGTCAAACTGTTTCCAAAGAATCTCATAGTCTGAGGACCTGGGGGCTAAGGTGTCGCAGTTGAGATCGCAGCCTCTTCCCTGGGGTCCCTGCACTTGCATGTGAGTGGCCTTAGGTTCTTCTCACTGGTGTTCTGTTCTTGCTCGGAATGCCTGCTCCCCTTCCTCCCTCTGTTTCTCTCGTTTAAAAGCCATTTACTAATGAGCAGTGTTGAAGGAGTTCATAATAATATCTTTTCACGAGCGCTACCTGCTTCCAGCCCTGACTGCAGCAGCTGTGGCAGATTGGAGAGGGTTCTTTGCTCACCCCAGCACCGCCTGTAGTAGTACTTGGTAACTAGTGGCTGCTTGAGTTAATATGTAAATAAATGTATCTGATCTGAGTAGACAGGCTGCAGGAATGAGATGTTTTAGCAAAGAATCAAACCAGGAAGGCTTGCGAGTTTAGAAATCAAGCCAGGGGGTTCAGTTTGGAGGATGTTAGTAGTAAGTCAGGGATGCATTCTTTCTTAAGTTGAGCTTACTGAGTAGAGAGTCCTTCACCAAGTGCAAACCTTAAATCAATGACGTTTCATAATATGCCTCTGTCCCCACATTCTTACTTTAAGAGCAACATGGTAACACAGAGATGGTAAATCTGGGAGGTTTTCCAGAGGACTCTTGGACTCCACATCACCACATGCCATGGAGGGTGGGGAGTTTAAATGGCACCTGCCAAGACTAGCTGAGTAGAAGCTCCTTTGTGGTTTCTGTAGCGTCTTGTGTTGACTTGTGGTTTTATTGTATTACGTCCTGTATCTTTTGAGTGGTGAGTTGAGGTCTTTATACTCTGCTCTCTGTAGTTGTTGGTCACAGTTGTGCAGAAGAAGATCCTGCGAACCTCCCGTTTCCTCAACAGCTTCACACTATTCCCCATTTGGAGCGGAAGCTTAACGGTTCTCCATCTGGAAGCCTAGAAACCTCTTTAAAAAGAGTGGGCTTCTGTAATTTAAATCCATTCCAGCATGGCGGTTGTTGTCCTTGTTCAGCTCATGCTTAGGTATTCATGTGGGGGTAGCCTCTGACTTTTCTTCTTTCTTGTCTCCTCCCCTCCCCTCCCCCTCTCCTTGTCTTTTCTTTTTCTTCTTCCTCTTCCTCTCCTCCTCCTCCTCCTCCTCCTCCTCCTCCTCCTCCTCCTCCTTTTATATAATAACCCACCAAGTCCAGTTTGTGCTTACAATATACTTTTGGTTACTGGGCCATTGATTGGAGCGTGGCTCACCTACCACCTTTAAAGAAGACTGGCTCTCCCTCCCTGTTGTGCGGTCAGCTGGTTAGGGATGGGAACTCAGGAACCCCTTCCCTTCCAGTTAGAATGGTGACCAGTTTGATCTTGTGCGGCAGCCACAGCTGCTGTGAGTTCCTGAGTCTAGCGGTCCTGCCATGTTCAGAAGATGCTCCTTTGCTCTGGTCCTTCTCAGTCTCTCCTCGCTCCTGTTCTGTGCTCTCTTTCACAGTGGTCCCTGAGCCTTGGGGGTGGGGGTGGTGCCGCTCTTATCCCGTTTGTGGCTGACCACCCCACTGACACTCTTCACAAAGCTTAATCTTTGAAGGTGCCTGTTATTTGTCCGTTCACTGCAGATTGATCATTGCCTGAAGCAACAGTTCATTCTCAGGGTCAGTTGATTGATTGATTATAGTTGGAGAGGAAGACTTACTAGCAGATAAATACAAGTCTATGGTATTTCATATCACATAGACATTTATAAGATGAGAGATAGCTCAGTTGATTATGTTCTTGCCTTGCAAGTATGAGGGACTTAAATTCTGTTCCCAGAATCCATGTTTTTAAAAAGCTGAGCTGGTTGTGGTGTTTCACACAGGGAGGCAAATGCTGAAAGGCTGTGGCAGGAGGAGTCTGAGTGTGAGGACAGTTTGGCTACCCCTGACAGTGTGTCCACTTGTACTCCTGGCACTGGCGAGGGGAGAAATGGACCCTTGGGGCTCACTGCCCAGCCAGTTTAGCCTACTCAGAAAGCCCCAGGTCAACGAAAGACTGTCTAAAAACAGATACAAAACAGAGAAACAGCAACAGCAATAAAGCCATCAAGGTGGATTGCACCTGAGGAATGGCATCCGAGGTTGTCTTCTGGCCTCCACAGGAGTGTGCACTCACCTTCCCACTCCATCACATTGTTCCCCTGTCACTCAAGAACATTCCTATCCATAGAAACATGCAGAACAAAGTGATGAATTATTTTAAGTCTGATATTGACAGATAAAACTTTATATACAGGCACGATTATAGTAATGAACACATACACAAATAAATATGAGTTTCCAGTGCCTGAAACTGACTTTACTTCAGAGTCCCAAGATTCTAGTATGGCTTGTGCTGCTGTTTTGTTGATGTGTGTGTGTGTGTGTGTGTGTATACAGTTGTGTTCATTGGGTTTTCTAGCCACTATGGTGTGACCGCAGCACCAGTGGCTGATGCAGGTGGAGACTGTGTCTGTCACACAGCCCTGACAGGTGAGCCAGTCCCAGGTGTTCTGTCCTAAACAGACTCCCAGGATGTGTTTGCACAAGCACACATGTGCATGTATGTTTATATGTGTGCACTAATAGTCATAACAGGGAGTGGGAGTGCACAGCAGGAGCTGGAGGAGGGGAGGGAGGGTCGAGGTGATGGAAACAGTACTCATGCATGAAATTCTCCAAAATTAAATTGTAAATAGTTCTGATCCCTGGGCAAGGCTTTGCCAGCCATTTGACTGAAAAGCATGGTCCAGGTTTGGAGCTGGAAAGTGAAGTTTCTTCTGAGGAGCCGACAGAAGTGTCTCGGACTTAGAGCTCTGGGTTGTGGTGGGTAGCTTCTACCTCCTGGTGTAGGATCACTGTGTGGCCGTAATCAGTTTTTACTTTGAAGGAATAAACCTATTGTGCCTCAGAAGAGCATTTATTCTAAGTTTCTAGATATGAATGTGTGTCATGGTTTTATGTATTAAAATTATGAGTTAATAGACATCTATGTAAACTAGACAAGGTTGCTCGTCAGGTCTCTTGCTTCACGGAAGCTGAGATACAGATTTTCCTCTAATAAGTTTAAAACATGTTTTGTTTCAAATCATATTCCTTCACACAGTGATTTGGGTTCCCAGAAATGCAAATGAGGATTATTAGTTTGTTAGTTACGTTAAGATTAATATAAATTATTTTAGGCAGGATTAAGAGGATCTTCTGTCAACTAAGAAGTTGATGTTCTAAGTTTTATGTTATGCAAAATGCTAGATATTTAAATACACTATTCTTTTTTTTTTTTTTTTTTTGGTTTTTCAAGACAGGGTTTCTCTGTGTAGCTTTGCGCCTTTCCTGGAACTCACTTGGTAGCCCAGGCTGGCCTCGAACTCACAGAGATCCGCCTGGCTCTGCCTCCCGAGTGCTGGGATTAAAGGCGTGCGCCACCACCGCCCGGCCTAAATACACTATTCTTATACCTTTCTCTCTCTCATTCATTCATTGATGGCCCCAGAGTTAATATCTTGCTAAGCCTGGAACTCAGTATTTAATCCAGATTGACATCAAACTCATCCTCCTGCCTCAGCCTCCAGGGTGCTGGTGCTACAGTGTGTGTCACCACTTTTTATCATTGTTATTTCAAATTGTACAGTACAAGAAATTCTTGTTGGGGGACCTAGTGTCATATTCTCATAAAAAACCTTGGGAAAATGAATGTTCTAAGTTTTATGTTATGCAAAATGCTAAATATTCTGAATGAACTGCAGAGGTGAGGTGTTTGGTGTGTTTACAGAAGCCCTCTTACTGAGCTGTGGGATAAATAGTGTCTTCATAACCTGACCTTGCTATTATGATGAAAATGGAAAGTTTTCACACAAGTGATGGAGGCATTCCATTCTTCTGATACAGATCATGACTAACTCTAATATATATATATATATATATATAAAATATATATATTATATATATATATATTATATATATAGTAGGCTTCTTTGAATTCAAATATTGAACAAAGGAAGGACATATGTAATAAGTTGAGATTATTCAATGTGAATTGAAGATGTGTCCCAGTTTTGTTCTTGCCCCACTTCCTTACTCTGTGCTTTTATACTTCTCCAAGAAATGAGTTGCCCCTTCTGTGCCAGACGTGTGCGTGTTCCAGGCTTTGTTTGTGTCAGTCTGGGTTCTCACTGGTGTGAAGCCAGAGCGTGTTCCAGGCTTTGTTTGTGTCAGTCTGGGTTCTCACTGGTGTGAAGCCAGAGCGTGTTCCAGGTTTTGTTTGTGTCAGTCTGGGTTCTCACTGGTGTGAAGCCAGAGCGTGTTCTAGGTTTTGTTTGTGTCAGTCTGGGTTCTCACTGGTGTGAAGCCAGAAGTGTGTTCTAGGCTTTGTGTCAGTTCAGTTTCTCACTGGCATGCCTCTGACTGGTGTCTCCAAACAGAAATAGCATTCCTGTGAAGTGTTTTGAGATTGATATTTCTGTACTTACTAAAGTTGGCTAACAGTACAGTACAGTATCACTTGTACTGTTCCATTGGCTGTTAGTGTAACTGCTGTTCCATAGTTGTTCAAAACAAAATGTAGGCATCTCATACCAAAAGAAGTACCCTGTTGGTTTTATAGGCAGCGTTGTTACCGTGCGAGAAAGGTCATGAGGCATGACAAAACCCAGTATCAGAGCTTTATTGGGGTGGGGAGGGGAAGAAGAGAGCATGGCCAGGCCTGTTGGAAAGACACGTGAGGAGAAGGGAGAGGGGGCAGGAATCTGTGACTGGCTTTTTAAATATTCCCCTGTGCATGTACGTTTACGGAGCTATCACATGCATGCACAGATTGCATGACCTTGTTGTGCGCAGTGCACGGATGATATGACATAAGACCCCTTGCTTGGCTACTGAACTGCGCATGTGCGGTCATAGAGCTGGAGGAGTGGCTGGAATCTTAACATTTCAGACTTTTTGCTTATAAAAGAGGCAGGTGGGCGGGTATGGGGTGTCGTGTTTCCTGAAAACTGCTTCCAGCTGACTTGGTGGACATCGGTTGACTCCTGGGGGGGGGGGGGTGTAGGGAAGGGGGCTTCTGAGGTAGACAGGCGTCCTGGGATGATGGGCTGTCGTGTGCTGCCTTAGACCTGTCCATCATCCCTCTTGGCCTGGGACTCTGGCTGCCTGTATCTGAGAGGGGCTGGTGAGACAGAGAAAAGCTTAGAAAAAAGAATTATTATTATTTTTATTTTTTCCTTTGTGGGGGTGGGGTGGGATGGGAGGGTGGGGGTGAGGGAATCCCGGGACCAGGAAAGTTTGGGTTGCACTTATCTGAAGCAGATCTGACTTGTCCATATGGATTCAAGCTGGTTTCTGGAGCTTAGGAAAAAATTTTAAACATTAAGAAGCAGCCACGAGAAAATTAAAAGTCTTGGGCTGGTGACCATGACATTGTAGTGTTTAGTACTCTGCTTATATTGATTTGTGTGTGTGTGTGTGTGTGTGTGTGTGTGTGTGTGTGTGTGAGAGAGAGACAGAGAGAGAGAGAGAGAGAGAGAGAGAGAGAGAGAGATGGAACATGTTTTTAATTTTACCTGAGATAAGCTTTATCAGAGACAGATTATTTTAAGGCACCCGCTTCCTTTATTAGTTTGGCATCCAGGAGACACAGGTGATCAATTGCTGAGGGCATTTAATAGATTGCAAAATACAGACTTTAATATAACAGAGTAATATTAAATACCTCTGGACTGTTAGTGTTCCTTACCACCTGGGTATATACCTGATGGTCCTTGGACTCCAGCTCTATGGTGATCTTGTAACAATTAGCTGAGTAGTTAATTAGAAGAGGGAACCAGGAAGAGAAAAGCTTGTGGGGTGAGACCTCATTCTTCTGGAATTGGTGACAAGGCAGTGGATCCTGAGGTCCTCTGGAACTTGAGAGAGAGAGCAGGGCCCTGTCTGTGTCCCTGTGCATGAAGAGGAGAAGCACTGCTGACCGGTCTGGAGTGAGGCACATGGAGGGGGCAAACGAAATGAAAGCTCCTACCTTAGCTGGAAACTCTCTTCCCATCAGGTACCCCTGAAAGTACAATTAAGTCTGGTGAGGTGGGTAAGGCTGTCCCCCTACCCCAACAATAGGGAAATCAGAAGGAGAGGTGGAACCCCAAAACTCCTTCAGGACTGAGTAAGTGGCTTGATGTCCAACAGGAAGGAAACAGATCGCCCATGCTGCATCCTGGGTTCCCTGTGGTCCATGGCCAAGCCTAGGAGGTCTGCTGGAGGTCTTTGATGTCCCCATGCCACGAGGTGCATGAGGGCAGTCAGCTGACCAGCATCTCTCTAGGTGGCACTTCAAACAAGGCTCAACTGATGGCCTGAGGGGCAGGGCACACACTAGCCTGCGTGGCCTTCTCTAGCACACATTTAAAACAGGGACCTGGAAGCCCTTATGCAGCTGCTCGGATAGCGTGTGCCAACATTTGGCAATTCTGTTCATGGGTTTTCTCATCTCTCCCATGGTTCCTTAACTGCCACAGCTGAGACTTCTGCCTGTGGGGTTTGAGGCCCTCTCTCCAGATGCTTAAGTTAGCCCTGATGTTGAGAAGCTCTGGGAGACATGAGATGGATTTTATTCTGTGTCTTGAATTACTTTTTTTTTTTTTTTTTGGTGATAGTTTGCCAGTTTGAGGACAGCTTTAGGAAGACCTGCCAGGAGGCAGGCTATAAACTGATCTCTGGCTAGAGAGCCATCCGGATTATTATAATCCCAATGTGGGTCCTGATAGTAAACTCATTTGCCTGCATCCTAGCCTGCTTCCAGACCTGTCTGCTTCTCAGGGCAGCTGAGAACGGGTGACAGTAAGAGTGAAAATGGGAGCCAGAGTCGGGCAGGAGCGGCCCGCCCAGTACTGGAGAACAGAACGGAGGTCAGATAAGCCGAGGAGTCAGAGATTCCTCAGGTTCAGGTTGACCGTGGGCAGGAGAGAAGACTCAGAAAGGGAGGGTTCAGAGCTTAGGTCAAAGCTTGGGAATGAGGTAACTCTTTTCATTTGCCCGTTCACTGGTAGAAGTTAGATAATTCCCGTGAAATATTGGGGTTCAAGCAGCCATTATGCGGCCATATTTATGTAAAATAGGGATACTTAAGACATTTCTCAGAGGAGGAATGGGACCAAGAAGAGGAAGCCTTTATGTCCTCTGACTGCAGCCGAGAGGAGAGAAAACATTAAAACAACAAACAGGATCCAAGACTCCCGTCTCAGGCATCCCCGAGAGGAGGGAAAGATCTGTGGACCAGCATAAATTAGCAGCACAAGTTACCTGACCCTTCATCAAGGGAGGGGTGAGGGCTGGGAGCTTACGTACCAGGAGAAACCCGCCCCCCCCCCCCCCCCCCCCAGTCTGACAGCATTCAGTGCTTTGTCAAGAGAGAACTGTGGTACACAGCCCGAGGATCCCCTAGGGGTCCAATGTGAGAAATATATTTCAGGCTATAGTTGTGGGAAATGGCAAGGGATTGGAAGGGGAAACTCACCAATCTGGGCAGCCAGTGTGTTGTACGTCGCAGTCCGGCAGCTGGGCAAATGAAAAAAGTGGGCAGATGGAGCAAAACCTCGACACAGGGTTCCAGACGCAGAGCGCTGGGAGAGCCTGCTTCGTCACAGCACCAATGTTGGTTTAGTAAGTGGCGCTGTCACTGTGTGAGGCACGACAAAACCCGTTATCAGAGCAGAGTTTTATTAGAAGGGAGAGGGGAGGGACAGAAGAGAGCGTGGCCAGGCCTATTGGAAAGACGTGAGGAGGAGGGAGGGAGAGATGGGGGAGGAGAAGAGAGCTGAAGGAGAAGAGGAAGGGGAGGGGCCTGCGGTCCGCCTCTTATGGATTTCTCTCGCTTGGCTACTGAACTGTGCATGTGCAGCCATATAGCCGGAGGAGTGGTCGGAATCCTGACGTACCTAAAGGTCATTCTGGGCTTTGGTAGTCAGTCATTGAATGGGAAAAGAGTGTAGATGTTAACACAAAGCAGGCTTACGTGTGTCGGAGCTGGTGTGCCACACCTTACTTTCATTGGCATTCTGTTGGCTGGATTTTTGTCACCTGGCCATGCTAAGTGCAAGGGTGCCTGGGAATAGAGTCTTCTTGCCACAGTCAAGAAAAGTAAGTACTGTTGTCTATCCCAGTGTCTTGGTGAGTGTAATTACCACAAATGTCATCAATGTCTTAACTAGTTTTCTATTATTGTGGTAAAATTCTATGACCAAAGTAATTTGGGAAGGAAAGGCTTTATTTCATCCTCAAACTTGTAGTTTCCCTCTCACTCAGGAAGGGCAGGGCAGGAAGTGAAGCAGAGGCATGGGGGGTGCTGCTTACAGGCTTGCTGAGTCTTCTTCCTTAGAGAGCCCGGGACCTCCAGCCTAGGGGTGCTGCCACTCACAGTGAGCTGAGCCCTCCCTCCTTCCCTCCCTCCCTCCCGCTTCAGTCACCAGTCAAGAAAATGCCCACTGGCCAGCCTGGTGGGGCCACTTTCTAAGTTGAGCTTCCCTTTTCCAGAAGGACACTTGGCTTGTGTCAAGTTGACGTAAAACTAGCCAATACAGTTATGAGACAGGAACTGTTCTCTGATCAGCTTTGTATTTCATGCTCCTTTTTTAAACTGTATATTCTAAAACTACTTCCCCACACCATATTTACCGTTTGTGGAGTGGTTTCCAATTACTCAAGTTACTATGACAGTCCAGTCTCTGGTAACAACAGAAGAAACATCTGAGCAGGTTAAAAATCAGGCACAGAGTAGAGTGGAAAACTGGTGACCGTGAGAGGGATGTAAGTGCTGATGTGGTTTGGATCTGGAGTGTCTTCCAGGCCTGTGTGTTAGAGACTTGCTCCCAGGGAGGAACAAAGGAATACGTAGAATTAAGAGTGGGTGTGGGGAGAGGTCTTTTAAGGGCTCCATGGGCACGCTCTTGAGGACGCTTATGGAATCATTTCCTTCCCCTTCTCTCTTTTCTTCCTGTCTGCCATGCAAGGAACAGTTTCATTCTGCCTTGTGCCCCACCATGGCACACCCCCACAGGTCTAAAGTAGTGGGGCTAAAAGACTGTGTTCAGAGACTTTTAAGACTGTCAACCAATAGAGAACCCCTTTTTTTCTATGCTGATTTTTTTCTCTTTTTTAAACTGATTTTTAAAGGAACAGGATCAAAGTATCAGGCAGCAGGGGAGACTGGTTCAAGCCATCGGAGCAGTCAGCTGAGGATGCCACATGTGGCTCTTTGTCCTTGTCTTTGTAACATAGCTTTGGTAATGAACAGTGTAGACAGTCCACCTTTTCTGCTAAGAGTTTAGAATTTTGGATAGACATTCTTGAAACATGCACACATGGATAAAATACTTCGAGTTAGTATGGGAAAGCTCAGGCTCATACATGATTCAGTGAAGAAGTGCCCTGCGTGCCATGCTAAGCAGACGGCCCTGTTCCTTTATTGTAAGCATGACTCTCCCTCCCTCTCCCCTATATGGCTTCACGTGAAGGGTGTCCACATTCCAAGTAGCCCCGTATGAAGGTATGTGTTTAAGAAGGTATTCCATAGGAAAGTGTGCTGGGCTGTAAGATGGGAAATAGTTCCATTCTGCATTTGACATTGACCACCTTATATGCATCTGCAAGCCTTTCTTCATCACAAGCCTCCTGTTACGGTGATGTTGGTATTGCTCACTCCTGAACTATTTTTGAGTGTCGTTTATGTTCCCTAAGAGTTGGTATGACACTCTTGCATAGGAAAATATATGAGTAGAGAAGTTCTATGTAGTTGGTATGCAGTGTTTATATAGTTGAACCCAGGGAGGTGTAGGATCTCCTGAAGAGTGCCCTATTCAGCCCAAGTGGGGAAACCTTGGGTAGAGAATCCACAATTGCTTTTTCTTTCACTCATTAATTCATTGTTACCTTTAAGACTTTGCACTGTTGGAGTTCTGAGAATGCAGAAATAATTAAGACCATTCTTCCTTCAAAGGTCCTGATTATATTTCAAGAGCATAATGATGACGTTAGCATGTGGCATGATTGCTGTGGAAGTTAAGAACAGCATTCTAAGGGAAGGGTGAAATAAGATTTTTAGTAAGGTTCTAGGAGAAGTTTTCTCAGGATGACATTTGATCTGGCTCTCACAATTTGAGTTCAGAATTTTAGGAGCAGAAAAGGGAGTAAGCTGTGCATTCTGAACGAAGAAAACTATTGTGTCCTGTCTAGCATTGTTGAAGAACAGCAAGCAGGGCAATGTAGTTGAGACAAAAGTTCCTGGGAGACGGAGTGGTGGGAAATGAAATGGGAGGGGTGCGAGCACTTAGCCAGCAGAGCTCTGTGTGTTCAAGAGGTGGGGCTTTGAGATTTCTGAGACGCAGCTGAAGGCCTGGGGCCTGACAGACAGCAAAGAAGCAATCCAGGGTTATGAGTTTCAGGCCAGAGCCCTGCTACAGTTTGACTGGGGGGTGGGCTAGGGAGGGAGGAAGAGGAGGAGAGGGAGAGAGTGTGTTGAGGGATAGAAGGAAAGAGTGAGACAGGTCTCTGACTTGAGTGGATGAGTGGGTGGAGGTGCTGTTTATAGAACTGGGTCCAACTTGGCTTTCCTGCTTGCTCTTGAGCCCCTCAAGTGTTAACTATAGTATTCCCTGCTTTCAGAGCAGGCTGCAGTTAGCTTTGGAAGCTTTTCTGTAGCAGCAGGTGCCCCTGTAACAGCAGCCACTGCCATTCTCCTGACTTTGCACTGGAAACAACCTGGTTGCCATCAGTGGAGATAGTGAGGAGGATGAGGGAAGGAAGGCAGGTGTTTTCACCTCAGCCCAGGGCCATTTTACCGGTTTCTGCTTGAGAACACTAACCCTCTGCTCTGATGGCAGTTGCCTGGATGCCTCCTACTCATGTGTAGTGAAATGCAGACTTTCTGGAAGGCTGAGGCCCTGCTTACTACCTTCACATTTGTGTCAGTAATGCTAGAACTTTGCCTAGAACAACACTGTCTAAATAGCAACCACTCACATAACTTAAGATAGCTAAGCAATCACATTTTTTTTAAAACTAAAAAAAATTAAGATTATTTTAATAATAATATAATTTTGTCCAATATATCTAAAATACATTATTTAAATCTAATCAAATTTAAGATGTTAATGAAGTACTTTACATTTATAACATATCTTCGTTCTGAGTAGCCACACAGACTGCAAGCTAATGCATTGGACAGTGTTGAGTGACAGCCTGGCTCAGGCTTAATGAATGAGCATGTAAGAATCTGCTATGAAGATTACATGTGGAGTCAGGGATTTTTGCTTTTGCTGTGCAGCAGTTGAACATGTTACTGTACTTGAGTAGTGAGAGGTGGGAGCTCACAGGAGGCAGCTCTGATGCTGGAGGACGTGCTGAGGTCACGGGGCTGGGGGTCACTTACGCCCTTGGAAGAGGACATACTTTGGTTAGTTAGTCTGTTGGTATCAACAGTTTTATAACTGTTCCCTGATAACATTTTAGATAAGCATCAGCATTCAAGTAGTTGAGGGTCATTTTAAAAGTCTTAAACTTGGGTAAGCGGCAGACTTCTTAGTGGCTAGAGCAGTGCAGAGACCTGAGTTCAAATCCCCAGCAACCCCACCCCAAAGGCCTATAGTGTTTTCCAAATGACTTCAAAGAAAAACATCTTGCTAACATGGGAAGTAGGAAAAGTGCTATTGTAGTGTGCCAATATTTTTATTTTAGTTTTCATTCTGCTGGAAAGAAGTATTTATATATTAAAGATTTATTTACTGAATCTGATTTTTAGAATTTATTATATTTGAGATTTTATAACATGTATCTGAATATAAAGTGAGATTATTTTTCTAAAATTATCTCTTGGTGATAATTATACACTTATTAATCACTTTGACTAAGTCCTCTTCAAGGATAACATAGGCCCACAATACTCGTTTTTCATAGTAGCTTTGGAAGCCATGGAAGTCATTTAATAGAATGAAATTGTAGAAGAGTGACAAAGACTTCACAAACCTTTGAGATGAGGGAGTTCCATCTTCAGGTGTTACTGAAAACAGGACTCAAGAGGACCCTAGGGTCAATAGAAAAGATCAGTATTCTAATGTTAGAAACTTTTGTGTAGCTGACAGCTGAGCTCAGACCCTCTGCCAGAGCAGTACATGCTCCTGCCTGCTGAGCCCTCTCTTGTAGCTTGAGTTTTCTCTCCGGGTCCGCCAAGCCCGAGCAGTCCGACAGTCCACTTATAAAATAAACACACAGACACTTATATTGCTTACAAACTGTGTGGCCGTAGCAGGCTTCTTGCTACCTGTTCTTATATCTTAAATTAACCCATTTCTATTAATCTATAAGTTGCCACATGGCTTGTGGCTTACCGGTATCTTAACATGTTGCTTCTCCTCACAGCAGCTGGCAGTGTCTCCCTGCCTCAGCCTCCACTTCCCAGAATTCTCTTCTCTGCTTGTCCCGCCTATACTTCCTGCCTGGTTACTGGCCAATTAGCATTTTATTTATACATAGCTATATCCACAGCACTCTCTATCACCCTATTTTGGAACTGACATCGGGGTGTGTGTGTGTGTGTGTGTGTGTGTGTGTTTTAAACAGTTTTAACTGTCTTATACTAGAAAATGTAAAGACAGCTGGGGTATACCAGGAAGTAGTCTTTGAATTCCAAGTCAGGATACATTTGGGGAAACAGCACCGTCTAATTCAGTTACCTCTTCTGCTTACTAATAGTCACCACTGTTCTTGGTAACTGGGCTCTTG